ATCCATCCTCTGACAAAGGTTTTACTGACAACTTTCCATACAGTCAAAAAATTAAAAAAAATACAGAACACAGCAGACAGTATCTTGTACACTAGAAATCAGCATGACAGGAGTCCCTTCTCGTCACTGTAAAAAAAATCCCAAAAACCTAAGCTTAGTTTTGGTGTGGGGCAGGACTTTGGTCCCCCACCTAATGAACCAAAACAACCCAGCAGAAAATTCAAACCAAGGGGGTGGGATAGAGGCAGGGGATCAGATTTTAAAATAACTGCTTTTGTGACACAAATGTGGAGCTGGAGAAGACAGGTTGGGGCTAGGCAGTGTCTCTTACTATAACTATCACCATGTGTTCTTCTTCTAGCTTGCCCAATGTCCTCAGTGCTGACTGGAGGTACTGCTGTGAAAAGTCGCAGGGTGGGAAGGCATAGAGCATACCTGTGCTGTCTCTGCCCTTGGACCCACCCACCGGCAGGCTGATCACACCAGCCGCCTGCTTCTGTTTCAAGTAGGAGACCAGGTTCCTGAGAAGCCGCCTCTGTAGGCCTGGCTCCACCATGGACATCCCCTCAGTGCCAGGCCCACTGGGGGTGGCCTGGGTGGCTAGCAGCACTGCATAGCCATTGGGGCTCCCCTGCTTGATGCGCCGAGTGACCTCGTCAAGCTTGGGTTGGTCCAGTCTGAGGCGCTGGGCAATCTTCAGCTGAGTCAGCTTACTCCCTGAAGTGTGGTCTTTGAGGAGACCACTGATCACCCCCTGGTCCCCCTCCAGGATGTGCATAGACGTCGGGAAGCAGCTGTTTTTCAACACTAGAAGCCCATTCCAACCCAGCTGCAGTGTCTGGGCATACTCTGAAAGATTCTTGAGCTTTTTGGTCTCGTGTTTTGGCTCTTCAAGAGACTTTGGCTCAGCCTCCGCAGTCCGATGATTGCGCTCGCTCTCGCGTGTCTTCTTCCCGTGGGAAGAGTCTGGAGCCTCATGGTGGTGGTGGTGGCCACGCTCCTCAGCCCCGTGTCTGCTGTTGCTGAGAGAGTTACTGCTGGATTCCTTGGTCCCTTCGCTGGAGTGATTTTCCTTACGGCTGCGCTCAGGTGTGCGGTCAGAGCCTCGGTCAGCCTGCTGCCCACCACCCTTGGTCCTGCTTCGTTCCTCGTAAGGGGAGTGGGTTGTCCTCCCACGATCACTGGAAAGACTCCTCCGCTTCCGCCTCTCCTCCCAGGGCTTGGGCAGGCCCCGGTCCCCATCTCCTCCCCAGCGCTCCCCACTCCGGCTGCGCACTGAGCGGCTGTAGCCCTCCAGGCTGTTTCGGCGGTCAGAGCTTTTACCGGGGCTGGTCCAGTCCCCTTCTAAGAAGGTCCGGTCTCGGTCTGAATACAGGAGGTGTGGAGGGGTCCTATCACGAACCCGCAGGTCGGCATCCAGGTTTCGGTGCCTGGTATACCCATCTGGGAGAAGCTCGTAATGCACAGGGAGAGGGGAGGGCTGGTACTGCTGGGGATACCGAGTCTCCTCTGCTTTGGCAAAATCCACACGCAGCCTGCGGTCTGGACCACCCAAGGGAAAGCCCCTCATTTTAGCACAGGCGGCCTGGGCTGCATCCAGGCTCTCATACTGGATGTAGGCAAAACTGTCTCCTTTGACATGATCAATGGTCCGAATGCTCCCAAAGCGGTCAAACTCCCGGGCCAGAGCCGCCAGTGAGGTGTTAGGTCCCAGACCACCCACCCAGAGGCGGGTGGTGGGATTGGCCTTGCCATAGCCAATCTTAATAGGGTTGCGGCCAATCACCCGGCCTGACATGGCCACCTTGGCCCTGTGGGCCATGTCTAGGTTCTGGAACTTGAGGAAGGCATACGCACCGCCCTGGCCGCGGGCCGGTCTCTTGATAACCACTTCCTCAATGATGCCATACTTTTCGAAGGCCCGTCGCAACTCCACCTCCGACACACTATGGTCCAGGTTCCCAATGAAGAGGTTGCGCGTGGCCCGCTGATCGTCCTCAGGCATCAGGTCCTCCTCGCACACAGCTGGGTAACCGTAGGGGCGCCCCCGGTCATCGTACAGCCCGTAGTAGTCCAGGGCCCGCTCCCGGGATAGTCCCACCGCGGCGGCGGCGGCAGCATCCAGGGCAAAGGCTGCAGCGGCGTGGCGGGCGCGGGGCTCCCGCAGGGGCGGGGCGGCCACGGGGGACAGCGAGCGCTGCTTGTACTGGTAGCCACCGTGCAGCGGCAGGTAGCTGAGCGGGTCGGTGGGCGTGGGCGGCCCTGGGGGCGGCGTGGAGGCGGCGGCACTGCTGCTGCTGCTCCTCCGGCTGCTCCCCCCGCCGCCGCCGCCGCCGCCGCCGCGCAGGTACACGGGCTCCACCTTGAGCGGGCGGTCGTAGAGCAGCAGCTGGCGGGCCAGGGCGTGCTGGCGGGCCTCGCGCGCGTCCTGCGGGTGTCGGAAGTTCACGTAGGCGACGCGGCCCAACTCGGGCGTGTGAGACAGGCGCAGGCTGATCTCGCCGAAGCGCTTGAACTGGTGGAAGAGCCGGTCCTCGAGGTGCTCGGCGGGCAGCGCAGGGCTCAGGCTGCTGATGAGCAGCGTCTTGTACTCGGGCGCGGCCGCTGACGAGCCGGGACCCGCGGGCTCAGCTCCGGGTGGCGGCGGAGGTGGCGGCAGTGGAGACGAGCGAGGCGAAGCTGAAGCTCCCGGGTCCCCGGGGGCCTTGCCGCCGCGTCCCCCGCCCCCGGCGCCCGAGCCCGAGGAGCGGCCGCTGCTCACACGGTGATTGGCGTCCCCGGCGCCGCGGCCTTCGCGATGACCGCCCCCACCGCCGCCGCTCCCGCGGGGTTTGTCGCGGGTCCGTGTTGGAACGGGATGCTTGGCGCCGCCTGAGGCCTTGTGCGCCGCCCGCCGCCCGCCCGCCTCCGCCTCCCGTTCGCGCTCCCGCGGCCGCTTGGCTGACGATGACGAGCCGCGCCCGCTCGGGCTCGTGTCTCGCTCGCTCTGCCTCTTCATGGCGCCGGCGCGGCGGGCGGGCGGGCGGCCCGCAGGCCCCTCACAGCAGCAGCGGAGGCGGAGGCCGAGGAGGCAGCGCCCCCGGCGCCGCCATCTTGGACAAAAGGACTCGGTGCGGCGGCGGGGCGGGGCGGGAACGGCGCCCAGGGGCTGGGCGTTGCGTTATCAGGCTGCGCCAGCCGGGCCATGTGACCTCCGGGTGGGCGGGGCGAGAGCTGCGCCGGGCTTGCGTAATCGGACTGCGCCAACCCGTGCCACATGACCCGGCGGCAGGCGGGCGAGTCCGGCAGGGCGCTGAGCTTTGGCGCCATCGTGTGGCCCCCGTACCTGCGGCTGGGGCGACGCTGAAATCAGTCCTCGCGAGAACCGGGCTAACTGGCGCATCCCGATCCTACAACTCTGCGCGCCGTGACCCCCGGACCTTGAAGCAGCGTCCCCTTTACGTGGTATCCCCTCAATCCTCACCACGGCCTCTCCTGACGGGGGTTCAGGACTGACAGCCCCGAGGGTTGGAGCACGCACGGCGCACAACTTGGGCACACGTTCAGGTTCACCTGCAGCGCCTCCTGCCCCGCATCTCCTCCCACCCACCCCAATTGGCTGGTCATGTGGAGGGCGAGACTTGTCCAGGCCCTGGCACAGAAACCTGATACAACAAACCTACAGTTTATGGGGTGGGAATAGGCTCCTTGGCACCAGACGGCAGGCCGCAAGGGCACAGAGGCCAAATTCACGGGTTAACCACAAATTGCCACGCTTACCTCTCACTGGCCAGGACCCTCCTATCCACCTCCGGGGCAGGACCTCCTCTCCGAGGTGAAGTGAGGTGAGCCAGGGAGAGGTGCTGGAGGCATGGCAGAACCTGCCCCAACTTCAGCCACAGAAACTGTGGGGTGGGAGGTGCGCACCAGTTCTTCCCTCCTCCCACATTGCAAAGCAGCTCCTGGAGCAGCTAAAACAGGTGCAAAGGGAAAGGCCTTAGAGTAAACACCTGTAACACAGCATGACCGGCTGAAATCTGCTTCCAGACAGGAGTTAACCCTTTCATAGATAACCATGGAGGTCAGTCCTAGGGTAGTTGGGCTGTTTCCCTGTTCGGTGTGGTCAGCTGAGACATCTCCATCTTCCAGGACTTCTGGCTCCAACTGTGGATTTTCCCAAATAACTTTCATGGTCTCAGGACACTGCTCGTCAGATCTTAGCCCACCTAATTCCCGCAGTCAGGGAAGTCTTGGCCTGCGGAGTGCTCTGCATCCGGCTTTCCTCTCAGACATGGTGCTGCCAAGCACTGGTGGATTCGAGGGCAGGTTGCAATAGGCCCCTTATGTAGGCAAACTGAATTTAGGAATAGCACAAATGAAGAGATCTGAGGGCTGAGCAAGTCCTTGGAAAGAGCTGTTTCTTAGTCCTTCCCTTCAGGAGGTCTCTGCAGGCCCAAGAAGCAGAGATGTTTCCATCAAGCCACAGCCCCTGTGGACAACTGGGTTTCCCAAGAACCAACTCCACAGAAAGCAACTAAAAAACAGATCTGGGGACACTCTGAAGACAAGCCCTGAGGACCTCAACTGTAAAGGCAAAGAGCAGCTTCTCACTGGCTCTTTTGTACAAACCGACCCCTGCTGGTCTTGCAAAACCCCAATGAGGCCTCAGAGGCTTGGGACTAACACTAGACCACAAACTCTGATGAGCAAGTAGATAGCCAGACCTGGACAGTGGAGTTGCAGGCAGGCCAAGAACATCTTTAAAAATGTGACGGTAATGAACACAGCTACTAAAGTCATCACAGAAAACCACTGCCCCTCCCCTTGTCCATCAGACTCAGCCTCCAAAGAAGCTGTGCAGCCTCCAGCCCCTTATGAGGGTAAGACAGACACTGTGGGCTGGGGAATCAAGCCCAGCTTCCTCCTGCCCCGCCCCCACTCCCATAGCCTCAGCCTGTGTCCCACCCTGGTATCTCCAGCACTGATGGTTGAGGCACAAATGTGAATGTACCTGAAAATTCTTTGTAAACCGGAAAGCATAAATCGGTAGGATCTTCATTGGGGGTAAGACTCTATTTCGGTATTCACTTTAATTCTCCAAGGACAGCTAGAAATTTTCTTCCTTTAATAAAAAAATCCCAGACACACTTTGAAGTCCCAGAGGAAACCAGCAACAGAAGGTAGTGAAACCCTTCCCACAGGGCGCTGGAGAGCCAGCATCATCAGGAAAGCTCCAGGCTTCACACCTGACATTGTCAGGAGCCGGCCCAAAAAATAAATTACAAAACTGCAGTTTGGGGAAGACACAGCTGAACTATTTCTTTCCCTCAGGTGCAGCAGGGATAGGGCGACTACAAATCAGTCCGTGAACTGGCTGCCTTGGGGGCGTATTTAGGCATCAGTTCGTTGATCTTCCGGATGTAGTCAGACTTCTCTGCACAACCTTTGCACGTCTCTCCCCAGTCGTCCAAGATCTTCTTTAGCTCTTTAACTCGGAGCTTCTTCAGGTCCACTGTGCTCAGGTCGATCTGCTTGTCTGGAGGAAAGAGCAGGATAATTACCAGCTGGGCAAGGGTGTCCACGGAACCCCAGCAGTCCCAGGCTAGACCCCCACCACCCCTTAAACAAGCAGCCCTACTGGTGGTGGGAAGACAGCTCCAGACATACACAGGTGTGTCAGTGCCCTGCTCCCAAGAGGGGGACGTTGGCCCCTTCACCAGGAAGGCTGGTCTCCACTCATGCTGGCAGTGTCAACTAGACATGTAGTGTCACCAGGGACAGAGAAGGAAGTCACATGGTCCTTATAAGAGGGGTGTGGCTCCCACTCCCCCAAGTACTACTCTTAAATAGTCATGGTAGAGGTCAAGTTACTGTAGAATGACACTTCCAGGATGACAGAGCAGATAGATCCCCCAGCCCCAGTTTACCAACGCAGGCCCTGGTCAGGCACCTGAGTCAGGAGCTTACTCTCCATAACTACTTGTGACCACAGAGAGAACTTGAGCCAACTGCACCTCTCCCTGGATCACTCTCAGAAGTCCAGACATCCTTGACACAAGTGGGTGACACAGACCTTTGGACACTCAACTCACAATAAAATACGATGTTAAAATTTTACAGAAGAGGACAACTGTTCCTGGCCCTGACTTTTTCTCCACCAGAGACCTACTCAGCAGGAGATGCTGAGGTACAACTCCTGGCTTGCCTGTTTGGACCAGCATTTCTTTTCAAAATTACAATGGTCACTGGGCCCTCAGAGTTTGCAGCCAGGAAAGCCTATTAAACCCAAGGGAGGTCAGACCACAACCTCCCCTCTGCCCTCACAACGTCCCCAACTTCACCCAGACTAATAGCCAGATCTTCCTTCACCAACTTGCAAGGCTCTCTGTGACCAGTTCACCCACTTGTCATGCTACTGGCTGCGTTTGCACTGCCTACTTCCTCTCTCTGGAATGTTCTTCCATTCCCTTGGCTAATGTCCCACCTCCTTCAAAGTTTGCTGAAATGTCACCTCATTGAGACCTACTCTGACCCCTCCCACACCATTTAGACCACCTGCCATATTCAGCTATATACTCACGATGGCTCTAATCCATCACCCGGCTGGAAGGCAAGCCCCACAATGCCTGAGCACAGAGGGCAAACAGGCCCGTGAAGTAGGGCCTAGCCACACTCACCATACTTCAGCTCACAGATCTGGCTGTCTTTCTTCTTGAGCTTCTCACAGATCTTCTCCACAGGGATGTGGTGGGCCAGCGGCTTTGACACCTCATTGATGATCTTGGTGGCTGCATCATCTGTGGCCCCAATATAATAGCACTACAGCAAGAAAGGACAATGGCCTTCAGAAGGTGCCACTCAAGAGCTGTCTCCAAAACATACTGACACCTCAAAGCATCTTCTTTCTCTCCCAGGGCCTCATTTTCTCAGGCCTCGCCTGTCCTAGCAGTCAGTGTAAGCCCCAAGTTCTTAATGCATGCTCAATCCCATAGCTGGCAGCCACCAGACGAATTTAAGAGTCACCAGGGTTCAAACCTTTAAACAGAGAGACAGACAAACCAGACTGCCAAGGAAATTAAAACTACAAAAGCCATTGTTTCATGGGATCTCCTGTCCTCCATCTGTCTCTGGCCCACCCTGTGCACACTTTATCTTGTTCTCACACATGCCAAGCTCGTTCTGGCCTCTGGGTGCTCCCACTGGCTGTTCCCTCTACCTGAGATGCTTCTGCCCACCATACGATGACCTTCCTCAGAGTGATTCTTGACTACCATGTACTGTCCTCTCTACCATACTATCTATTTTCTTCATGACACCCACCCCATGGCATCATTTCTTTGCCCGACTGTCACTTTTCTCCCCTGATATTCCCAGTGCCCAGCACAGAGTAGGTGCTTAGTAAATACTAACGGGATAAAAATATGACAACTGCAGAGAAAGCATTTCAGTCCAGCATTAGTTCACCAACAGAACTAATGGAAGCCTCCTGAACAGACAAGTGGACAGGGCCTTTTATCCAGGCCTGTGAAGCAGAGGGTTAAACACAGCCAGTGTCAGCCGGGGAGGGTCACCAGCTACTTACCAACCGATTCTCTTTGCCCCTTGCTTCGCGGCAGAACTTTATAAGTTCTTTTTCAATAGAGGCTGGTGAGAATGTGACATCTCTGTCCTTGAGGTCCTGGTAAAATCTTCCCAGGTAAGAAACACAAACTGGAAAAAAGAGGGAAGGGAGACACTGAGCAATCACCCAGTTGCACCCTAATCCACCAGGAGGTATGGAGAGAGGTGAATTTTTCCATCACCGGTTTTTCTCTGGTGCTCACAGTTGGACAGAAGGCAGCTCCTGGTTGCTGGGGTCCCCTGGTACACCCAGGGCATGCGGGGAACAAGCACCACCCAATTCACCACAAATGGCTTCTCCCTGCTTCTTCCACGAAGTTTAAGCCCAGACTGAACGTGGCCTTGAGTTGAACTCACTATGACCACATAAATGGGCAAACTGGAGACCGAAGGAAAGAATTCAAATGCAGCTTATTTTCCAATACCACACTGGACCCCAAGGTGCTGCTTCGCAACCCCACAGGAACTGGCGTGGTGCCCACGGCCGCGTTCAAGACTCCCCATCAGGGCCGCTCCCGAGAGCCTCTGCCCAGTGATGGTAAAAGGACGAAAACTCTAGCGTTATCTCAATTTCAGGCCAAGTTTTCAGTACGGTCTAGTGCCAACTTTTTCTCGTCGGACCCATGTTTTCTAGTCCCACGAAATGTTTTCTAGGTCCGGCGTCGACCCCTCTTCGGGCAGCCCCTCAGGGGCCGGCCGCCGCCGCCTCGGCCCGTTCCAGCCCCGGCCCCTCGGCCGCTCGTTGCTTTGGTTACGTTCAGCGTCGCGCCAGGACAGCCCGGCGCGCGGACCCCGGCCCCGCCGTACCTTCGCAGTCGCCCGGCCGCAGCGCCCGGCTTTCAGGCAGCACGCTCAGAGCCAGCGCCACCGCCAGTCCGTGCGTGGCCCACATCCTCCACCTCCTCCTCCACTGCCGCCGCTGCCTCCCGACTGAACCGCGCCCGTCGCGCGGCGTAGCCTCCAGGTCCCGGCCGCGCGCCGTAGCTCCCCATTGGCGGGCGGTCCCTGCGCCCTCCCACACGCCGTACTTCCATTGGTCCACGCCTGCCGGAGCCCAGACGGGCGGCTCCACGCTGCCTTTCCTCATTGGCTAGTGGCGGCACCGCCCCCGGCCCTAGACAGTTGTCGGCTGCTGATTGAAGCAGGGTCGGCCGCAGGAAGCGGGGCGGTGCTGGCGGCGGCGGAAGTGGCACGGTCGCCATCTTGGGCAGGGGCCGCGGCTCTGACAGGGACCCGATTTCGCAGTGTCAAGTGGGGATCGGCGCCGTCGGCGTCTGCTGAACTGCCCCGCTAACCCCTGCTCTGGGCCCCGCGCCTGCCCAGGAAACCCTGCGGATCTCCCCGCCCAGGACCCCGACTAAGTGGCGCAGGTCAGGGGCTCCGGGGTCAGCCGCGACCCAATGAGGCAGGCAGGGAGGACGGCCGCCGGCGGCGAGGCTGCAAAGTGGTTTCTTTTTTTCCTAAACGATCACGTGGGCCGGGGGAACAGCCTTTGCGGAACGTCTGTGGAGGACTCGGCGCCTGCGAGTCCCCCGAGCGCTGGCGGCTGGCTGACTGGGCCAGAGGACCGCTCCAGGAAGGGCCAGGTGCCGGGACTCAGGGATCAGAAGCACGCCGCCTCGCGCGGGAGGGAAGGAGGCTCGGGAGGCGCGATCCCGCTCCAGGAGTAGCCGCTGAGTCCTCGGAGGCTCCGGAAGCCTGGCCGAGGTGGCTGGCCCGCCGCCGTTGTTTCCCAGCTGAGCGCTCAGGCCCCTGGCTGCCCAGCACCTCCTGAGTAGGGTCCCCGGGGTCTACTGAGAAGCATTGGAGGTTTCCTCTTTGGCTGCCCTCCTTTCAGGTGTAAGGCTTGGCTATCTGTCCTTGAAGGCAGAACGTGGGAAAAGAATGGCTCTGTGCTCGTCGGAGAAAGATTTCCAAGGGCCTAAAAGGGCTTGGAGCCCAGCGGCAAGGGTCGGAGAGGGGCACTTGCGCTGCTCCCGGTCAGTGAATTCAGTGGGTCGGTATCAGGTATTCATCTTTAATTCACATCACAGCAATCAAGGGCGTGGGGAAAGGGGGAAAAATCAAGTGGCGGGATATTTACATCTAAAATTCACATTACTTGTTAGATTTATAACATGCTACCACAATATATACAGTAAAATACCTCTTGGGACACTAGTACAAATTTTGTCCTTTTAACTTTGCTTTCTGGTACAGGTAAGATAATTTTAAAATCACTTTTTTTTTAAAACATAAATACACAAAAGAAATGGTTAGAAGTGTTCTTATTTTAAATAAGCACAGAATGCCAGAGGTTAAAAACACATTTATAGGGCTGAACACCAATTGGACATCACACTCTATACATTTTTTGCTCAAATTCCTGTACAAATACACAGCATTCAAATAGGTATTTACAAAATAAGCTTGAAAGAATGAAAATCAGTTATTTCACAATCTTTTCAGAGGATTCTCACCTCTGGCTTCCCACTTCCCTTCAGACTGGCTGATTCTCCAACAAAAGGAATTTGGAATCTGTTTTCATCCAGTTTGGGAAAATGGAGAGCAAAAACAAACCTGGCTCACCTTGCATAAAGGAAGGCTAAATGAACCCATACTTGCCCTCTTCACCCTCCTGCACCACCTGGTGAAGGCAGATGTTCTTATGTGATGACTGCTTTATCCAGGGACTAAGGTTCAGGAGTGCCCTAAAGTCTAAAGATACCCTCCTACTTAATCAAGTACAAAGCTAGGCCCCAACACTTGTGAATGCCCGTGGTCCAGGCCTGCCCTCTGATGTTGGGGCTGCTGTGACTGACCCACTGTGCCAGGAGTCATACTTACAGTACGAGAGAGGATACACACTGGTGATTAACACCCCCAGATGCCCTGAAGGTAGCGTGGCCCTCCATCTTCCCTAGTAGGTTTCTTGCTGGCATTCCTATTAAACAGCTGGTGTTTACAAGAGAAAAACACCCTGACCATGGCCTTGTCTGTTTGGAAAGAGGAGCAATGATGAAAGGGGTCTTGGGCCCAGGGCCCAGCCATTGAGGTCAGACAGGCCAGCAGAAGAGTAACTAGGAGAGAACATACCTGCTCAACAAGAAGGCAGCCTTGTGAGCATCAGAGTTGTGAACTCAAGCAATAGAAAGATCAAGTCTGTATGTAGACTTTTTAAAGTAACTTAGAAGCACCCTGGTAGAATACTATTACTTCCCCACCCTGTCCCCCCAAATAATAAACCAAGGAAAATCAGTGCTCTGACCTGAAAGTTTCCCATAAAGTTTCCACTGTACTCTGTCCAACAGACTGGGGAGGCTGGAGAAACTGCACTCCTGCCTGCCCTGAACCCTGAGTGGTGGTCCCCACCGCCCGGAGCAGGGCGCCCCTGCACTTGGCCACTTGGATGAGGATAATTCAACATGCATGGCTCCCTGATTCCAAAAGGAGAAGCTCCTTCCCACCCTGCTTACCCAGGAGCTTGCTAAACCTGACCATGAGTTCTCAGGGCTTGGAAGCCTGGCTGGGCAGCCAACCCCTCTGCTCAGAGGTAGTGCTGAAAATCCCTGATTCAGGAGCTGGATGACAGGCATTCTGGCCACTTTTGAAAGCTCAGGATATCTGGCCCCTGCCACACCTCAGCCTCACTCCTATACCAGCTCATCTCTCAACACATGGCCTCCTGGGCCTTGGGGACGAAGGCAGCTAATCCCTTTGGTTCCACACCCCTACTCAAGTCCCAGAGGGTGGGAGGTAACCATTTCAGATCCATTTGGAAAGGGGGCTCCTGCAGGGCATGAGCTGTATTGAGAGTGGAAGGGAGCAAATGGTCAGAAATAAAAGTGATGGAAGGAAAAATCCAAGACAGCTGGAGACAGGACTGGCCAGTAGAAGCCTGGCAGTGTACCCCGGGCATGCGGTCAGGCCAGGTCACATGCATGAGCTGGCAGGTTGGCCCAGCCAGCCCCGGTTGCATATTCCTGGACGAAAGAGTGGGCAGGTGGGCAGGCATTTGTGCAAAACAGCTTGTAGCCCCCTTGTCCACCACCTGTGACATGTAGTCCACATGGTCCATGCAATCCCTGAATACAACCATGAGCTCTTCTGTCCACACAGCAAAAGAAGAGGTCCCTAGTGCAATTTCCATTCTTCTGTGCATCTCTACCCTGGAGGGGGGGCCTGGGACAGGAGCCCAGACCCTTCAAAGCGATTCTGTCTGTGCAATATCTCCATAGAGCTCCACGTGGTCTGGAACTGCAGGAGGAAGAAAGCATCTACTGCACACACACACAACACACACACACACACACACACACACAAACCTGAAAGGAAAACCCATGGAAATGGAAGCATAGAAATGAAATAAAAAGAGAAGCCACAACCTTCATGCTGCTGCGGCCTCTGTACATGGCAACACACAAGTTCACGGCAGTAGAACGTAGACTCGGGTGGTTCTCTCCTGAGTGCCAGGCCTCTCTGGCTCCCTGGGTGGGGGTTTAGGGGGCTTGCTTTTCAGACCTGGAATGGTTGGGCCAGCTGCTCTGAGGGTGGCTTCCCAGCTGCCTCCCTGCCCCTCACTGTTCCCCTCGGCCATGCTCCCAGGCCATGCGGACCTGCTCTTCCTTGGTGTTCCCAGGAGGCAGCGAGGCCTTGCGGTGTAGGCCCCGAGGCCTATCAGCCTCTTCACGCAGCAGCACAACCTCATCATGCTCCAGGGCTGGCAGGCGGGGGTGGTAGGGTTTGGGTGGCAGCGCAGGCGGGTCCATGGGATCCTGAGGGATGACACATCCCGGGGCTGAGTGGCTTCGGCATGGCTGGGCCTTGATGGAGTCCAGGACGGCAGACTCAGAGAGGCTGTAGTGAACAGGGAGGTAGGGCGGCTCAAGGTCTTCATCAGCATGCCAGGCCTGGCTGGGCATGGAGTCCATGGTGTCGGTTCGAGGCGGAGCCTCTGAGGAGTGCCCAAAGTTACTCTCACTCAAGGAGGACACACCACTGCTGGCACTGCCGGACAGTGTAGAGTTGCTGCCGTCCAGGCCCGACTGGGGGCTGGTGGGGGAGGCTGGGATAGGATGGAGAGGAGACTGTAAAGAAAGGATGGGCACGTTAGAATCCCTCTCTCCAGGCAGGCTGACAACCATGGTGTGAAGAGACGACCAAGTCTGCTTAATGAACTTCAACAGAAACCTCAGCAGCAGCCCCCCTGCTCCCTCTGGCCCTAGCAGGCCCAGGGAGCCCCAGAATCACCTGCATTTGTATGGGCCAAAATATGGCTCTGCCTTGGCTGCTGGGCATTTGTGCCCCCTGAAGCCAAGTGCTGGGCCACTGGCTATGGCTCTGGGGTACTGACAGAAGGGCTGGGTTGTCAGGCCAGTTGGGGATGCACCTTAGTGGGGAAAGAACCTTAGTTGGCCATGAACCAGGTGAGTGCATTCTGCTCCTAAAATCTGTGATATGGCCCTGGCCGGTTTGGCTCAGTGGTTAGAGTGTTGGCCCTTGGATTGAAGGGTTGTGGGTTTGATTCCTGGTAAAGGGCATATATCTGGGTTGCAGGTTTGATCCCTGGCCCCAGTCGGGGTCATGCAGGAGGTAATCAATCAATATGTCTCTCTCACATTGATGTTTCTCTCTCTCTCCCTCCCACTCTATCTAAAAAATCAACGGAAAAAGTATCCTCGGGTGAGGATTAACGACAAGAAAAAATCTGTGGTATACTCAGCTTTTTCTAATTTGTAGAATTTTTTGTTTAATACATATATAAAGCTTTGGTGCCTGATGCTTCTTGCTGTAACTGGACTCTAGTTTAAAATGCTCCACGATCCATCACCATACTATTTCTTTAACTCTTGAACTGTAGTTTGCTGGCACCTTGTGGTATTAGCAGAGTTGCCCACACACAATGGGTACTAACCCCTCTACCCCCATCACATCGGTTGCAGGATATATTAGTCA